TTCAAACTAGTTTTTCTTGGCTCAAACACAACCGTTTTTTAAATTCTTTTTTTTTATTTTGTTGAGAATGAGTGCCCCTATCCATTAGACGAATAACTATTTTGATAGCTTTTGTTTCTTCAGAGCTATAGACGAGTAAAAAAGCCACTTTGTCACGTCATGTATATATACACTGCAGCAGCTGTGTACCGCTGGGGGACTTGGCGGGGCGGAACGCTGCCGCGTTCCTTAATATATTTGTTTGGCAGTGATAAACTCAGACACCGCTGAACCGATTGCCACGAAACTTGGTACATACGTGTAGAATTTCATGGAATAGGTTTATACACCATCAATTTCGTGATCCGTCCAATCGGCTCCACCCCAGTGGCTCTGGAGTTTCCCATGTTAACCTTATGAGAAATGGAATTAATGAATCTTAACAGCTGTTTCAATTAAACAAGTTGGTTCTGTTCTATGATGTTCAATAGCATTAAAGTTACAAGGATTACCAACAGGGTGCAGCACTATTATTTCTTTTACATTTATGACAACAGCTAAATTGCAACCAAAAGGTGAGTGAGCATAGCGAACGAACTTCAACCTGGAGGCGAGTTAGCGTAGTGAACGAGCTAACCTGAAGGCAAGTGAGCGTAGCGAACGAGCTAACCTAAAGGCAAGTGAGCGCAGCGAACGAGCTCCAACCTAAAGGTGAGTGAGCGTAGCGAACGAGCTCCAATCTAAAGGTGAGTGAGCGTAGCGAACGAACTTCAACCAGGAGGTGATTGAGCCATACGAACGAGATCATCTTAAAAATTAAGAAGTTAAACGGGGCAAAGCCCGCGGGTTACAGCTAGTAATATTAAATACACATCTTCTTTTTTATGAGCACATATCTCAGTATTCTATGTTCTTCTATGAAATCAGTCACGTTTACTTACACAATACTGTGCTGCAGCACATATTGACGGTTGTGCAACATATTGTTTGTTATATCACCCTATCATCTACAATAGCCGTATCGATACTCTGTGTCCGTGAGAAAAACGACAAATCACCCGTGACAAAGATGCACCGTGGCGGGAGTGAACCTCGCAATTTGCCGCCATTTTCAAACGGAAACACTTGTGTCCGACCGGAAGTCCCCGTGTTAACATAACCTCCCACGTTTACTATACTTTCTACTATCACATGTGAGAGTGAGAGGAAGATGTGTTTACATCCTCCGACATAGAGAAAACATCACACAAATACACATGTTCCTCTATGTTTTTATCAATCACAGATTTTTCCAATTTCTGCCAAGTTCTTTGAAGTTTCTAGCACAATTAGGTAAAAGATTTTAAATTTACAGCTTAAAGTCGAAAAACAGTTGTTACTCCTGATCAGTGCATTTGTGGTTCAACTTATCCTATCTTAGAATAGGTGGTGTTAACTTTAATTAATTTTAATACAGTATTTGTTTTAATGGTGGTGTTTATTTAATATGATTAAGTATAATTTTTTATCGCGTCAACTGATAATTCTAATTTCCTCTTTTGTTTGCTGTTAGCAACAACTTCACTTTGTAAGTGTGTCTTGGCTTCAGGCAGAAACTTTCTTTATAGACTTGCACCAAATAGTATAAAATCTCATTTGGCTATCTTATATCAATTAAAGCTTATTTTTTGTACCATACAAGCATTACTCAGACCACTTTTTCTTATGACTTCATATACAAAAACCTAAGTAGAGAAGGTTCCATTAATAAACTGTAAAAATGCATTTTTTTATGTTTATGTAACCTTTCTGACTGTACTATGAACATTTTTGCTAGTACAGTATGGTAAGAACATTATTTGTAGGAAGACTTATAGCGAAACAATTTATATAACGACTAGCAGAGTACCCGTCCTTCGTACGGGGTTGGCATATAAGTATCAAATGCTTATAGCAGTTATGAGTGAGGACATGGTTTAAGAAATTTCGGTTCTTTTTGAAGTTCGTTCGCTACGCTCACTCACCTTTAGGTTGGAGCTCGTTCGCTGCGCTCACTTTCCTTCAGGTTAGCTCGTTCGCTACGCTCACTTGCCTTCAGGTTAGCTCGTTCGCTACGCTCACTCGCCTCCAGGTTGAAGTTCGTTCGCTACGCTCACTCACCTTTTGCTGTTGTCATAAATGTAAAAGAAATAATAGTGCTAGTGCTGCACCCTGTTGGTAATCCTTGTAACTTTTAATGCTATTGAACATCATAGAACATAACCAACTTGTTTAATTGAAACAGCTGTTAAGATTCATTAATTCCATTTCTCATAAGGTTAACATGGGAAACTCCAGAGCCACTGGGGCGGAGCCCCGAAGGATTTTTTGGGATAAAAATATGCCTATATGTTATTCGGGAATGTGAGCTATCATCATGCCAAATTTCAGCCCGATCCGACCAGTAGTTTTTGAGATTAGCTCATACAAACACACACACAGACACCACCTCTTCTTTATAATAGTATAGATATAGATAGATTGCTGTGTTATTATTACCCGTTTTTGAGTTGTAGATAATTTTCAAACATACTGCAAATTTATTTTTAAAGGGGGTTGAGGGGAAATTACTTCCGACAACTGCCTTATTTTTATTTTCATTGACTGGGTTATTAGTTGCCTTAAGCCGATCATAAAAGATTATGAAACTGTAAGGGTGTAGACCTATGCGTAATCTACGGCAAAACATACGACTACAACTTCACAACTCAGCTCTGCACATAACCAGTCTACAGTTCCATCAGCACTAAGGTAGCCGTGCGGTTCTTGTGGATCATTATCCTGGACTACTTCTTCAGCATTAACCCGTCTTTAGTCCCCGTCATTATAATATTAATGCCCCGTCTATATTCTGGGTCACCCTGCATTACACGACCAGATTTGCTTTGATGAATAATTAATCGCGAGTGACATTTAATGTGTGAAAATAATAATGTATGGACCCAAGTGTTTATGGATGGAGCACAATTATTTGTGACATCTTCATTTATACAATATATATATTAAAATTCAGTTCATACAAGTGTAAAGGAGATAGTTTGCTATGTAAGTAATTAGATTTGTGGATATTACTTTAAATTATCTTAGAATTTTCTGAACTCTATCTTAGATTGAACCACATAATTAGAGATTAGCCATTGAACATACTCCATGGAATCATCATCAATAGAGATCAGTTGACGACAAATCGTTGAGATCATTTGTATGAGATCCTCACGCTGTTTCAACCCTTAAAATAACCTATCGATGAGTCAAGGTTTGCCTTTAAAGGTAATATAATAGTAGTACGAGTGTGTTTGATCGTTTATATACTCGGAATTCATCATCCTACTTCTGTTGTTTATATACTCGTTTGAACTGTTTTATGGGCATTATAATGTATCTACCTCTCTAACTTTAAAGGTTTATTCTAAAATACGCAACTTAAAATGTACCTCAATTAAATACGTTGTTTAACCAATATTAGTTAAAATTTAGGTTAGGTGATATTTGAAAATAAAATACGTGTTGTTTATATAAGTTTTAGTTCGTTTATGTCATCTTTTAGGAAAACGTATAAAAAGAATGTTAACTATATAAGTCTGAACTACTAAAATTCCGATAACAAGAGCTGCACCTGCACATTTATATTTACAGTTCACAATATACAATTTATTTGTAAGTAAGAATCCCACAAAACCTATAAAAGTTGATAAACTTGTTACCTTTTTGTTGATAACGCTGGTACAGTAATTGTATCCAAGGTTCAACCGACAGCGTTATAAACAATGTGCGATAACCCATCTGCAAACGCCATCTAATTCTCGCAATACATAACCCCGACACGGATAAGATCACAATGTATGTACTGTTAGATTGCCTACAACGCCGCCAGCGGTCAGAATCAATCCAACATCGGCTAATGTCTACATTCTCGCAATACATAACCCCAACACGGATAAGATCACAATGTATGTACTGTTAGATTGCCTACAACGCCGCCAGCGGTCAGAATCAATCCAACATCAGCTAATGTCTACATTCTCGCAACACATAACCCCAACACGGATAAGATCACAATGTATGTACTGTTAGATTGCCTACAACGCCGCCAGCGGTCAGAATCAATCCAACATCGGCTAATGTCTACATTCTCGCAATACATAACCCCAACACGGATAAGATCACAATGTATGTACTGTTAGATTGCCTACAACGCCGCCAGCGGTCAGAATCAATCCAACATCGGCTAATGTCTACATTCTCGCAACACATAACCCCAACACGGATAAGATCACAATGTATGTACTGTTAGATTGCCTACAACGCCGCCAGCGGTCAGAATCAATCCAACATCGGCTAATGTCTACATTCTCGCAACACATAACCCCAACACGGATAAGATCACAATGTATGTACTGTTAGATTGCCTACAACGCCGCCAGCGGTCAGAATCAATCCAACATCGGCTAATGTCTACATTCTCGCCTTCTGCTGCGATTATACTCGGTATAACGCTTCATCAGCTCACCGACCGTGTCATTATGACGCTTCCTATGGTTCTAGCAGCGACACGCCTCACACGTTGGGCTTCCTACCAGGCTTGAGATCGAATATTCAGTGTAGTGATCGAATCTGGTGCAGTTACCGAACAAATTGAAAACATTTATTTTGTATACACTATTATTATGTACTGCTTGTTGAGCTAGTAGACGGAAATGTTAAACATATTTAAATAATTTCCTTTGGTTTTTTTGCAATTTTTATATTTTGTTAGGGTACTTTAGACTCGTATTTAGACAATGTAGTATGAACGTGACCACGTTACGACCACCTATGCGTATGTGCTACCGACTTTTAAAACTAAATTTTCTTCGTATTTCTAAACAATGTATGTGTTTGATTTTTTAAGACGACACATAAATCTCCCATTTTGAATACCTATATCTTCGTAGCCAACCACAAAACACACAAACTCAACGCGCAGACAACAAAACCCACAAAGCTATCTAGAGATCACTCACTGTGACGGAGCGGCGGGGGCGACTCCCTGGCGGGCCCGGGTAGTGTCAGGTAGCTCTGGGAGAGTGTCCAGTTCTCTCTCCCGGGGGTCCGCGGGTCCACCTCCTGGGTCACCCTCTTCCTAGGGAACACTTCCGGTCGCTCCGGAGGCGGCTCGACCTCCAGCTCCTCCTCCTCCAGTAGGAACGTCCCCCGATGGATCGTGAAAGACCTCCTCCTGTCGACTCCGTCGTCGGGGAGGATGTCGTCCATGACGCGGAAGGGTTCCACCAGCCCCGTCAGTTTCTGGGAGTAGCACACATCCCCTCGCTCAAGAGAGTCCCCGAACCTCTTCTCTACCGCGGTGGCTGTTGAGGTGGTGGTGATCTGTATCCATCTCGGGGGTCGCGGCCCGACTGAGTCAGACTCATGTCTGTAGTTGGCGAGTTCGCCCACCATGACGTGCGTGTGTGTGCGACGGCGGAACAGGAGAAACTTGTGTCACAATAGACTCAAGCGATGATTGCTCTCCTGGCAACGGTAGATCACCAGGCAAGGAACAAGTGGATAATTTTCCACGTTAAAGATTTCTTGAAAACAAACTGCTGGGTAAATTGGCACCAATCGAACGCGTGACGCAGCGATTTCACCAAACCCGCCTCGTCCAAGTTTGCACTACACGGATATTCTTTTAATCTAATCTTGAAATATTACCGAACAAGTCCTCAATATTAGCTTAGTTTTAAAATTGACCAGAACTCACTGAGCCTCCTCCAAGCACTGAACCCCGAGTGCCGTCCACCTCCGATGGCCCGAGGAACGGAACCCAAGAGTACGCGGGTGGCATGCCAACTACACAACGCCATGTCGGAGAATACCAATGGGCGACAATACTGCGGCATTCCCTCACACATAACCCTCTTCACACTTCCTCCTTCAAGGTCACAACTTTGGGTGAGCCTACTTCTAAAAGTAGGTGACCAGAACATGTCACTGAACTCTGCAATAGTTATGATATTTATCTTTATGCATAAGTACAGATGCTAATATCAGTTTTTCAACCACAAATGCATACTAGAATTTAAAGAACCTATTCCGTTAACAATTATCTTGTTAGTTTCAATTTATTAACAAGCAATGACTTGAAACGGTGTTTCCATTGATAATTCTCACCATTAAGGTGAAGTCCGAATTATTATAATGCAATTTACTGCCCTCGCAGGTCAATAGGTCAGGCATGAGCATTCACAACTCTGACTTGACATATTACCAGTCAAGAGCGTTGTCCACTTTGACAGAACGATGGTCAATTTCGCTTTTTGCCGCTGAGTCACTTTGATGTGACAGTCAGGACTTGGTAAGCTTACGAGCTTCAAGACTTACCATTGTTATTTTTGGAAGTTCTTTGCATTTTTGTAAATTTGTCTCTACAATTTGTGTAATTGTATTGTTTTACCTCGGCGGGGCTTTGTCGTTTCATCCCATATTATCTCCTAAGAAATATAGCTTTGGTATGGTACTATTTTCTTTCATCATATGTCCATAAAAAGGCAAGGAAGTATTGCTGTTGTTCTATTTTGTCGTGTAGTCCTATTCCGCCCGAGTTTTATTTCGCCCGTAGCCTAATTACTCCCAGTTCGCCCGCGGTCCCAGATTAACCCCTATAATCCTCAGCTCTACCTGCGTCAGGAGTCCTATTCCATCCACGGAGGCGAAGCCCCGCCTCCTAGGACCCGACCCACCCCCAACTATGTAAAAGCCCTCCCCTACCCATCACCCCTACCACTTTATAATCTGGAACTTTCCTTTGGGTTGAAACGCTTCAACAGTAATCTATATTGATAAATGCTTAAGACATAACAGATTAATAAAATTGACTGTCCATGAACTGTTAGTTACTGTACGGTAACTGTATGTTTCTGTACGGCAAACAGAAACATATGATAACACTGCAATCCAAGACATGGCCAGCAACGGCCACTAGTTAGCTGCTTCTAGTGTTAAATATCCAACTGCACACCTTTGAGTTTTCTTTATTATAGCCTACAATGTAAATAATTCGCCTATTGGGTCTGATGATGATTGGAGTGTCGAATCGAACTCTTGCCATCTTTTATGTATATTTATCGTCTGGTGAGGGCTGTACCGAAACTGCCACGACGTTTTATGATCATAATCCATACCGAAACTGCCACGCCAATTAGTGAGGATTATAAGGGTGTTTTTGAGAATGCTAGAAACACTGAAACTGCCACGGCGGATTCCTCAGGAAGGGGAGGTTGGTTTGGCAACGTGCAGGGAGAAACGGGAATGAGAATATCCCTCACTCATCACAGTGACGATTTTGAAACACAACACTTTACTTTGCTCATAACTTAGTTAAATGCTTTTCATGTCGCTACTTAAGAGGCCATACTAACTTTGTACTTATTTAAATCAAGTATCAATAGAAAAAGTCATTTAACTACCGATGAAGTCAGAAATAATTAAATAATATGTTCTAAAGGATTAAGATTGCAATTGAATGTAAAATGTTTGTTACTAAATGTATTATATGAATGCCCTTAACCCGTTATAGTGAATTACTGGCGTTAAAGAACTCGATAAACACATATTTTATCATTAGATTTGAAGTTTTCAGTTTATAAATATACCAAGGTGTAGGTAGGCATCGTCAAAATTGCACAAGAAGAAACATAATCTAATGCAAATAATAGCACAACAGGATACGTGTCCTGAAGTATAAATAAAACACAATTGTGATAAATATGTTGATCATATTTGGCGAATTTATTGATTTCATCCTATACTATTAATATTTTGCAAAAAAAAACACTTTTAACCTCACCGTAGCAGTAAACCCTAGGTGTTTGTTAAATCTAATGCTATTTAAATGGGGAATAAATATGTCTTGTTTATGGACGATTTTAGTAAGAATCCAATCAAACAAATTGAAATTCACTTAGTGTGCAGGTTTGCTGCGGGCTGCGGTGGTGGTAATGTATTTAGAAATGAGCTGAGAATACCATGAAAACATGCTTTTCAGCAATGAGTTGGAATTGGAAATACTGCGCGCACTGGGTTCCAATTGTCTTAAGAATTGGCGTCGAAGTATGAGATCCTTTGTGATGACTAGAATACACAGATTGAGTTCGAGTCTGTCCAGATTTTGTTTAGTACGAAATACAAATAAAATACAAGACTAGGCCAATAAATATACAGATACAATTATACTAGTATACAGAAGGCGAATAATGTGCAGGTTTACATTAATAATACCAGATAAAAACTTCAAAATTGATAAGTATACATTTTAGATACGGCTGATAAAAAATAAATCCTAATTAGCCTAGGCTACTTGTAGTGATAATTCAGGGTCACCTAATTCTGCCAACCTAGAAACCGGGAATAGCACGTGAATTTTAAGTATCAGGAAAAAGTCCATGAGTTGTAATTGAATTTAGTAAGAAACCGGGGAATAAAAATGGTCAAATATTTGCCATAAAATCCACCCGAAAACACAAAGTTTACACGTTTTGCGTAATCGAAAAACGCCATTGCGAGAAACTACTGTAGAAATGACCACGAATATTGGCGCAATATCGATAAATCATCACACACTAAGCCGCAAGTGAAAAATGATCATTAATTTTTCGTCGATCGCGAAAAATAGTTACGGGTGTAAAATAATCGCTGGAGATGAATGCGAATGTTGCCGCAATTGTGAAATCATCACCGGTCATCATCATTGCGGTCGTAGTTTACCATCACAGTTATTTCTGCGTTTGATCGCTAGAAATTATCACGGATTTGGCCACGATCTAACATACGATCACGGATGTTCGTTAAAGTTTCTTACGCCAATTCTTCATTTTTAGGCGTTTCCGTGATGGCAAGTAATAATCTCGGTCGTTTCTATGATCACAGAAAATTGTCACAGATGTAACGCCTGGTGGGAAATCAACACGAATTTGTTTCCCATTTTCTCATGTTTAATTAGAATGAAATGAGACTCGGTGTATGTTTTTGCATATTTATTTAGTAATATACCTCAATTATAAATTTTGTTTATTCACATATACAGGGCTGGGCAAAAGTATGGACATCACCAGAACCTTTTAATGGGTTACGCCAAGAAAACAAAACTCTTTACACGTCTCTATATCACGCAAGTGAACTTTTTGTTGTATTCAAATTTTGTTCTTCAACCAAAAATGGGTTACTGTATTTTGGTGGCCCCATCGAGTGACACCTCATATTAATAGGCCATTAGTCGAAGAAATATATATCGGAGAAAGAATATCGACAAAAGCTAGAGGTCTCTATCTAAACTCAACCCACTACTACAGTGACTGAAGAATGGTACGCGTTAAAATCGTTTCAGTTACTGTTACTCGTTGTTATATAATGTGAAGCATTTTGCTCGACATCCTCCCCGATTTTTTCCCTAGCAAAACCACTTATTAACACCACACTTTGTATAACAAAACGGTAGCCGTCTACTAACAACGGCGCGCCCTTTCTCTTCGTTTCAAATATCTTATCCTCCATCGAAAGGCTATCAATAAGTATAACTAACACACCAACACCCTTACTACTAACTCTCTGAAGGATGGCACAAAACTGTTGAGAAATACCGAATTTGAAAAATATAACATGAGTCAAGCTAATAGGAGCGCATTCCACTGAGATTCCACGTGAACGCCCCTCTGCAGACCATGGTTGGGTACAGTATTTGTAGTTCTGCAACCTAGCGTCTTGGGCGAATAAAACTATTTTTGAATATTACAGTTTTACAGTATTATATTAGTATTTGATCACCTCTCGTGTAATTAAAAGCGTAGAACAGATAATATAAAATGCAGTGTTATAAAAGTGGTAAATGAAACATATAACTTGTTTCTTAGTGGTAAATAGTTATTCATTAAAGCAAATATATTCTCAAAAGACGGAATAAATACTTATAAAGTAAATACTCTAACAGTCGCAACACTAAAAACTTAAATTAACATAAAATAACTCCTAAAATATAAATACGAAAGGGCAAATCAATCACTTATTTTTCCAATCTACGTATTATTGTAAAAGAAAAGGTTAAGGCAAAAATGGGAATTTTGAGTCTCCCGTTTCTCCCCGTCTACCTGGGGAATCCGCCGTGGCAGTTTCAGTGTTTCTAGCCCTCTCAAAAACACCCTTATAATCCTCACTAATTGCCGTGGCAGTTTCAGTATGGAGCATGATCGTAAAACGTCGTGGCAGTTTCGGTGTCCCCCTGGTGAGATAACAGTATAAGAGCACAAATATATGTTTTAAGTGTTATTAGACGTTTTTTTTTACTTTTCGTATACAATGTAATGTAGTAGTTGACGCAAGGAATACGTCAAGATAGTGTCGTTTATTTTATTTACGCAAGTTGCGTACACTACTTTACCTACGACAATGTATTTAAATTACTTATATCACTATTCATAGCTCCTAAGAGAGGTTACGTTTTCGTTTAATTTATAAAATCTCATTCCCACTGACAGTGATGCAACGAACTATTGTACCAAAGCTGCTTTGTAAATAAAAAATGCTATTAAGGGAATCTTTTTAATTCT